AAAATAAACTCTTTAAAGTATCTATTTCCAGCGGTCAGATCGCAATATGAGCGTGCGAACACATAACCGAAAACATTTCGAATGAATCGAACGAATTAAATGAACAAGGCATCATGATTATAGCGCGCAGCCTCGGAGCGCATATTATTAAGTGAATAAGCCGAGAAGGCACCTAATTTATAAATTGAAGTTCAAATACGAGATTATATTATGTCAATCCTATATGCCCTGACATATGATAATTAATTTGTTAATTGATCCATATGATTAAATTTGCTACGCATTGTATTACCACAATATGATGCCAAATACTTAGCTAATAACATACGCAAATGGCACGTGTGTTGTTAATCAAATTAATTCGTCCAGTAGTAAAAAAATGGTCATCTGATAAAAATATATATTGAAGTAAAACATTTGAAATCAAAATATTTATTACAAAACCAATTAATTCAGTCATATTCATTGGCGGGATTAACTCATGAGTAGCGTTCTCGATTCACATGCTGGAGGTTCCGATTTCGAATCTCCGGCAAGAATTTGAAAAGAATGTTAACTATTTGGAATAATAATAGAATTATGAATTGTAATAAAAAGATTTGTATGTAAAATCAAAATGTATAAAAATTGGAGAATTAGAATTAGAAGTGAATTGAAGTAAGAAGAATTTAGAAGAAGAAATGAGAAGTATAGAACAAGAAGAATTATGTGGTTAGAAGATGAAATGAGAAGATAGTAAAGAAGAATGATGATAAGTTAAGAAGTATAGAAGAATAGGATTATATGAAGAAGATAGTATAAAATTGAAGATTGTATAGGATATATGATTGTATAGAATAATGTAGGTGGCTAAATGCTCAAGTAAGCGATGCCAATAAAAATAAAATAAAAAAAAGAATAGTTGCATTCTTAAAGAAACTGTTGATTGCTGTATGTTTTCTTTTTTTTTCTCTATGACCTAACGACAATAAAGAGTAAGCGTATCATTGTTTATTAACTTCCCGAAAGAGAAGTTTATAATTTCATAAAAAAATCCGATTCGCTAATTTTATGTTTTCTCGACGTTTTAAGCCATTTTGCATCGAATGAGACCAAATTTGGAAAAAGTATGTGTGTGTGTGTATGTGAACAGATTTTTTGTCGTAAATCGACGTTTTCTCGAAAACGGCTGGGCCGATTTCAAAAATTCAAAAGCCATTCGATGTATCTCGACGAGGACTATCGTTTGCCACTTTTGTGGTACGATCAGCCAAGACGTTTCTTTATAAATAGCAGAAAAGTAAAAAAAAATTCGTCCACGTTTTAGCCCGCAATTCTGAACCGATTATGAAAATTTAAAAACCGTTCGAAATTTATTGATTGGGAGTTGTGCTAATTAGTTTTTGGTAAAGATCGATTCTTGTAATAATGTGTTAAAAATTTTTTTTTCGACGATTTTCATTATTATCTTTTTGACGGTAGATACTATAGTCTTCTAGATTATACTAAAGTATTACGGCCCTACGACAATTGGTTTAGCTTTAAAAATTCGTAAAAGTTTGCAAAAATTGGTATCGTTTTTTTGGCATTTGTCAAAATTAGACCATTCATGAACGTTTTCTCAAAAACGCCTGAACCGATTTCAGAAATTTAAAAGCCATTTGATATATTTCGATGAGGACTATCGTTTGTCAGTTTTGTGCGACGATCTGACAAGCCGTTTCTTTGTAATTTGAAAAAAAGTGTTAAACCTTTCGTCCACTTTTAAGCTCATCCTACCGAACCCATTTTGAAGAATCAAAAACTGTACGAAAGATAATAGTTGGGAATAGTACTAATTAGTTTTAGGTGAAAATCTACCGAGCCGTTTTCTTATAATTAACTGTTGAAAAAAAAATTTAAGCGGATTTTTATGTTTTTTTTTAGCGATATATATTATGGTCTTATAGAACTCACTGTAATATTGCAGTCTTACGACAAGTACTTTAATTTAGAAAATTCATCAAAATTTGAGAAAATAAGTCGTTTTTTTGACGTTAGCTAAACTTAAAATTAGACGATTTACTTGGTTTAACAATATAGTACTTGGTCTCAATAAACATACTAAAGGTTTTTGAAAAGTTGCTTTTTGAAAATACTCCGAGTTAAAGTGTTCGTTCGTTTTCAATTATGTGTAATAAGTTCACTCAAAAATTAATTTATTTTTTATTGATTAAGTCGATTATTTACACATATCGGGAAGTTCATGTAACTTGCCTCAAGGCTAAATACCAAGACCAACTAGTTTTTTCTAGTGCCCAAGTCATATTGGAAAAGTGAGTGAATGCTTGCACTTCTTTACATTTGACCAAAAATTTGTTTAAGTTATAGTTAATCGCAAAGAAATCGAAAATGCAAATTCTTATATTACAGTATCATATCTTTAGGTTCCAAAGATTTTGAACATTTCACCATATTCGGCAAATTTTCGTCGGCGATTTTGTTAACTAATCAACATGGTTCAATTGATTTGAATAAGTAAAAAACCATTCGATTCACATTAATAAGGAGACGTGTTGTTTAGTTTTTGGTCAAGACAGGTCCAGTCGTTCTGAAGATATGGGGCAAAAAGTGCCAAAAATTGTAATTCAGTTTTTAAGAGAACGGAGCGTCCGATTTCAATAATTCAAAAAATATTTTACTTGTATTGACAAAATGTAGAATTTTTGAGAAATGAAGAAAAATGCCAATTGGCGTCCAAAAATGATCATTAGACATATGCACAAATTTTTGAGAATGCAGGTCTAGCGGTTTCGGAGATCGAGTGGAAAAAGTCAAGAAAATTGCCATTTAGTGGTCAAAAATGATCATTAGACATATGCATATCAAATTATCAGATATTTTATAGAAACTTTAATAATGAGAATGAATTTTGTTTACATTTCTATGGGTTCAGTAACATTGTTTATCTGCTAGACTGCGACTTACGCGCTTTGATATTTCGTCTCTACGCAGCTAAAGCAGCGCGATTGCTCAGCGTTTTTTGTGCCAGAAAATATATTATTTAAATGTTGAAATAAAATATTTCTGATTCCCTTTCTTCTTTTCTAAATATACTATTCTATATAGTGAGAACATAGGTAGATATATACATCATTGAATAATTATAACCCATATCAACGAATAAGACAAATAAACTAGGGAATCTAAGGGCTTATTGTAATAGTAGTAACTAGTAACAAGCAATTTTTGATAGGATCTTGAACAATATTAAATTATTTTTTATCACAAAAAAATTCCTCAGCATCATGTTGTCTTAGCTACTGTCCCGCAAGCAAACGCAGTATACAAAATTACGTAGGTGCATTATTTTTACAGGTTATAAAAAAAATTATACTGTCATATAATTTTGATTTGTATCATTATTATTAACAAATTTTTAATTTAATATATCAAAATCGAGCATATGACTTTATTGACATTATTGGCTTTTTTATTGACCCGGGTAAATACCACTTACGTTCTAAGTTTAATAATATTTAAAAACAATATTGGTGGGTCCAAAAAATGCTACGACCTTGACCATATTAACAATATATATTGAATTTATATGAAATTATTAACAAACTATTAAATCCGATCGATTTAGCGCACATTAACTATTTTTTTTTTAATTTTTATTTGGCCTCGCTTACTCTGAGCATTTAGCCACCTACAACATTTGTTATTTAGTTACAATTCTAATTTTTATATCATTTTCAATCTATTTTATATATCCTAATTCTATATTCTTCTTAATTTTTCTTCTTCTTCTTATTTTCTTCAATTCTTGTTCTTTTCCAAATTTCTAATTCTATTTAACTTTCAGCTTCATACCATTTTTTTCTTCATTCTTCTTTCAAGTTCCAATATTCCTTTTCTTACTCCTAAATCAATTCAACTGTTCGAATTCTGTTATACCTATTTCTCTTAATTTTTATTCAAATTCTATTTAACAAATACAATTTTTATTTGATTTCAAATTAACTACACATATTATTTTTTCATAAATTCTATGTCATTGACAGGATTTGATCCGAAGACCCCTGTCGTGTGAATCAAACACGCTACCAAAGAGCTATGTTCGCGACCACATTAACTATTTAAAATTGATTTTTTCTGACCCACGTAAATACCTCTTATTTCTCAAGTTTAATAATATTCAAAATAAGAATGTTGGTTGGCTACGATTATGCCCGATTAACTTATTATGTATAATTCGTGTGAATTTAGTGATGGAAGCAAAAAATAAAATATAAGAAAATCTAATGGGAAATCTAAAAACGAGCGCCATATTGGCATATTGGCAAGATTCAAACATTGCGCCACGGCTTTTATCCAATCTGGCCATGATTTCTACTAGGGTTATTTCGTTTCAAATTTATCAATCTTTGATAATGTGCAGTAATTGTGATTGCTAAATTGTTAAAATAGTTGAAATCACACCTGAGGTTAGTTATAACAGAAAATTGGAGTTAGTTGTAACACGTTGACTTAATTAACTGAAATTAAACTATCACTGCAATCTATAAGTACGTAGGATAATTAAGAAAAATCCAATTTTTTGGCAAAATATAGTTTTCTTTGAAAACGATATCCTGATTATTGCGAACTTCAAACTTTTTGAAACCATTTTTGTAGTTCGATTTGTACTTCGCCACAAAATACGGCTATCATCTCATCATTTGGCAAAAATTTCTTCAGAGCGAGCATCCTTTTGAAATCTGTGAGCAGGATATGGTTGCTGGGGAACAGATCTAGAGAATATAATGAAAGTAATTCAGAGCCCAATTCATGTTTTTTTTGCCACTATTTTCCCGGATTTGAGACATGGTGTGTGGTCCTGATGGAACAGCAATGTTTTTCTTTTTCAAATGAGGCCATTTTTCCGATTACGATCTTGCAATGCTACAATAACGTTATTTAATAATCATTGTTGATTGTCTAGTTTTTCTCAAGATAGTTGATAAAGATAATTCTTTGCGAATCCCCAAAAAACTGACGCCATATCCCTGTCTGCTGATCGGTTGCATTCTTCTCCCCATCGTGATTAGTCCACACTGCTGACTGCCTATTCGACTCCAAAGTATAGTGATAAAGCCAGGTGATATCCATGGTGACATATTGATGCAAAAACTCCGTTTTGTTTCGCTTAAACAGCTCCAAATACTCTTACGATACATCAACTCGTTATGTTTTTGGCCAAATGTGAGTTCGCGCGGCATCCATTTACATCCCATTTACGCGGCACCCACGTTCTATTGTTATTTTTAGAATGCCAGCTATCTCAGGCCATTTTACTTTTCGGTTTTCCACAAACATTCGGTGGACTTTTTTATGTTTTCTGTTGTAACCACCACAATTGGCCTTCCAGAGCATTCAGCAACGTCAGTGCCTGTATGGCCACGATTAACATCAGCAAACCACTTTTCCACCATTTATCTCGATTGGGCAGAGTCCAGATAACACTTATCAAGCGATACTTTGGCAGCAATGATATTTGTACCCAACAAAAATCAATAATACATTACCCATGAAATTGCTTTGAATTCATAGTTTCAAAAACCTCAAAAGTAGCGTCACTTGAATGTCTGTAATTTGTAAACTAATCATCGAATTATTATGACATTTTGACATATATTTTCTCAAAGTTGTTGCTTCCTATAAATCATGGATAATTACATAGCTACATCATCTATGTGTTATCCTACAGACTTATTGAGTCATGTAATAGGCAGTTGCTGTAATTTTAAAAGCAAGTCCTTATGTCCATTGTGGCCTATAAAATGTACATAAATATTTTTTGCTTTATAATTTCACTGGATATTCTCTAATAAATTGTTGTTAGATAGAAGACAAATTTGCATTAGTGAATTTATTTACAAGATGATAAAAATACAACGACTAGAAATAATTTTACAAGCTAACTTAATCTTTATAAAAGAATTTTCAAATATCTGATCTATTTATTGTCAGAAAAAATATTTAACTTAAATAATCATTTTTTATTTTTTAATTAAAATAAATTTTCAATCTTAGGTCGATTAATAAATAATCATGTTAGGCATTTTGTTTACATCTAAATACATATATTACAAACACATCTGAGAATATATATATATATATATATATATATATATATATATAAGGTATCAGCACTGTTCAAAAAATACACCCATTTCGGATAATATCGCTAAGATCACAAATACTAAGTACGTTAACATCAAGAGTAATCCAGTCTTTTTACTCATTTGGTATCCACCAATGCTAAGTATAGAGAACAATGACCAGATTGCTAAAAGTAGTCCAATTATAGTGTAAACGACGCCGCTGGAATCGATATAAACTTGTGCTGGATTGCCAATTCCGTGTTTGATGGTTTTGATAAACCAAGGCATTCCTAATGACATCAATACCGCCAATGTATTGGCCCCGAGAGAATTCGATACGCCCATGCCACCCTTTCCTGAAAATGATAAATATGAATGTAGTGCAGTAATTGTATGAAAACTAAATATGATTTATTATTTTCTATTTAGAAAAAAGTTAGCGCTATTTAGAAAGATCAACTAAACAATCCTTTTACATGCAATTCCTGTTATATTGACCAAGAAATGCTTAATGAGGTAATATTATTTATTACTCCTGTCAGGAAAACCAGAATTATATTCTAAATGAAAGATAAAAGAAAGTAAATACGAATCAAATAAATACATAAATATATGTTGATGTAGATACCTCAACATATAATAGATTAAACGTACTCACAAAAAAGAGAAACTACTAATGGCAAAAAGTATTCAGTAAAAAAATCACACGCAAGCCTAAAAAAATAAAATTATTTTCATATATAGAATATTTATAAACTAGTTGGTTTGATATTTAGCCTTAAGGTAACTTACATAAACTTCCCGATATATGTAAATAATCGACTTAATCAATAAAAAATAAATTAATTGAGTGATTGAAAGTATTTTGAGTAGATTTAATACACATAATTGAAAACGAACGAACACGTAATTTCTTAAAGCAAATTTTCAAAAATCAACATTTTTTATAATTATACCAGTATCCGTAGGACTTTAATGGTTCAGTATGTTTAATAAGACCAGGTATTCTATCATTATACCAAGTAAATCGTCTAATTTTAATTTTAACAAACGTCAAAAAAACTTTTTTTTTTCTCAAACTTTGATGAATTTTTAAAATTAAACTACATGTCGTAAGGCCGTAATATTTTAGTAAGTTCTATAAGACCATGATGTATATCGCCAAAAAAAGTTTCATAAAAATCGGCTTAATTTTTTTTTCAACAGTTAATTACAAGAAAACGGCTCGGTAGATTTTCACCTAAAACTAATCAGTATCATTCCCAACTAATATCTTTCGAACAGTTTTTGATTTTTTAAAATTGGTTCGGTAGGATAAACTTAAATGTGGACAAAAAGTTTAACACTTTTTTTCAAATTACAAAGAAACTTTCTAACGGTTTTTTGAATTTTCATAATCGGTTTCAGAATTGCGGGCTAAAACGTGCACGAATTTTTTTTTCACTTT